CTCCTCGTTCCCTCCCACAGAGGTGCCCCTGCAGACTCTCCACCTGGACGTGTGGGGCCCAGCCCGCGTCCGTGGACAGGGCCACGAGCGGTACTTCCTGCTGGTTGTCGACGACTACACGCGCTACACCACGGTCTTCCCCTTGCGCACCAAGTGAGGTCCCTGATGTTCTGATCCCTTGGATCCGTGCTGCTCGTCTCCAGCTCCGCGAGCGGTTCCAGTCGGACTTTCCCGTCCTGCGTCTGCACTCTGACCGAGGTGGTGAGTTTTCCTCCGACCTCTTGGCAGCCTACTGTGCGGAGCACGGCATCCGCCAGACGTTCACGCTTCCGGCCTCTCCACAGCAGAATGGGGTTGCTGAGCACCGCATTGGCTTAGTCATGGAGATAGCTCGTACCTCCTTGATCCATGCGGCTGCCCCCCATTTCCTATGGCCGTTTGCAGTCCGGTACGCTGTGCATCAGCTCAACCTCTGGCCCCGTGTCTCTGCTCCAGAGACCTCGACCACACTGCTGTGGACGGGGCAGGTTGGCGATGCGTCGCGTTTCCGGGTCTGGGGTGCTCGTGCCTTTGTCCGCGATACCACTGCGGACAAGCTCTCCGCCCGCGATGTGCCCTGTGTCTTCCTTGGCTTTGTCCCCGACGCGCCTGGTTGGCAGTTTTACCACCCCACCTCGCGCCGTGTCTTCCCCTCTCATGACGTCACTTTTGACGAGTCGGTACCCTTTTACCGTCTGTTCCCCTACCGCACTGCTCCGCTCCCCCCCCCCGCCTCTCTTCCTCACCCCAGGTGCTCCTTCGGTAGACCCCCTCCCTCCCCAGGGTCCTGCTCCCTCAGGTGTTTCCCAGGTAGACGCAGTCGAGCCTGTCGAGGTAGCTGTTGACTCTGGTCCTAAGAGGGGTGCTGAGCCTGGGGGTGCTGAGACTGGGGGTGCTGAGCATGGGGGTGCTGTGCCTGGGGGTACTAAGGCTACGGGTGCTGAGACTGAAGGTGCTGAGACTGCGGGTGCTGAGCCTGGGGGTACTGAGACTGAGGGTGCTGAGCCTAGGGGTGCTGAGACTGAGGGTGCTGAGCCTAGGGGTGCTGAGCCTGGGGGTGCTGAGCCTAGGGGTACTGAGACTAGGGGTGCTGAGCCTGGGGGTGCTGAGACTAGGGGTGCTGAGCCTGAGGGTGCTGAGCCTGAGGGTGCTGAGCCTGGTGGCGCTCCCTCTTCACAGCAGCTGCGTGAGTGGTACTCTCAGCGTTACGGCCTCCGGCGTGGGGCTACTGGAGCTGGGGGTTCTGCCGGAGTTGGGGCTGGTGGTGCTGCGGGTACTGTGTCGCGGCCGGAGCCTCCCTCCCCTCAGCGGCTACGTGAGTGGTACGCTCGACGCTGCAGCCTCCGGAGTGGAGCTCCTAGTTTTGGAGGTACTGGAGCTGCTCGAGGTGCTGCTAGTACTGGTCCTACTGGAGGTGCTGCTGGTGCTGCTGGAGGTCCTGGAGCTACTGGAGGTGCTGCTGGTGCTGCTGGAGTTACTGGAGCTGCTGGAGCTACTGGTGGTGCTCCTGGTCCTGGGGCTGGTGGTGCTGCAGGAGCTGGTGCTACTGGAGGTACTGGAGTTGACACTACTGGAGCTGCTCGTGGTGCTGCGGGAGTTGGAGCTGCTGCTGGGGGTTCTGGTGCTGTCTCTGCTGGTTCTGGGGGCACTTCACGGCCGCGGCCGTACTTCGTTCCGCTCCTTCAGCAGGTTCTTGGTCAGCCGCCTCCTCCTTGTCCTGCTCCCTCCTTAGAGTGTCCTCCACCTGTCCAGTCGCAGTCACAGTTACCGCCTGCCTCGCCACTTCCTGGTCCTTCTCCCTACACTGGTTCGACAGGAGGTCTTACGGAGCATCGTGAGCTTGAGTCTCGTCCTGTGTCGCCTGAGTCTCGTTCTGCGTCACCTGTTCGTGCTACTCGCACTGGTCGTCGTGTCCCGCGTCAGCGTCCTCCTGCTGTCCCCGACACTCACCAGATGTCGCTTCGTCTTTCCACTGCTCCACAGCGTGTCCCTCTGCCTTCTCCTCCTGCGTCCTCCCTTCCTGCCCTTGCTAACCCGGAGTCTGACTCTCTTCGTGCTGCTAGTCCTACTCTCACGCGTCTCCTGGCCACAGTTGTCACCGACCCTTCCTTTGAGTCAGCTGCTGCGTCTGCCTGGGTTGCTGAGCTTGTCGACTTTGCTGCTCACTGACGTCTAGACTACGCTGCGAGCCTTGTTGCTGAGTCTGAGTCTGTCTGTCTTCCGTCCGTCGGGGGTGAGTGTGCTCTTGGCACGGACGTCCTTGAGGACGGGCAGGAGGAGTTCCAGTGCTTTGCCGCCGCTGTACCTCATCTCGTATCCATGCTGATTGCACCTGAGGGAGACCCGGATGCTCCAGACATCCCGACCCCGCGCTCTTACGCTGAGGCGATCGCGGGTGAGTACTCCTCTCAGTGGCAGACAGCCATGGATGCAGAGATGGCATCCTGGAAGTCCACTGGCACTTACGTCGACGAGGTTCCCCCTCCTGGGGCGAACATCGTCAGTGGCATGTGGATTTTCAGGGTGAAGCGGCCGCCAGGTTCTCCACCTGTCTTCAAGGCTCGTTACGTTGCTCGAGGCTTCAGTCAGTGAGAGGGAGTAGACTTCTTTCAGACCTTCTCCCCCACCCCGAAGATGACCACTCTTCGGGTGCTACTGCACGTTGTCGCTCAGCGTGACTACGAGCTTCACTCTCTTGACTTCAGCACAGCTTTCTTGTAGGGCAGCCTGCACGAGGAGATCTGGCTGCGCCGCCCTCCTGGCTTCACTGGGTCGTTTCCTCCTGGTACCCAGTGGAGCCTCCGGCGGCCGGTCTACGGTCTCCGCCAGGCGCCACGTGAGTGGCACGACACACTGAGGACTACACTTGCGGCTCTTGGGTTCGCGCCTTCTACTGCTGACCCGTCGCTGTTTCTGCGCACCGACACTTCACTGCCGCCGTTCTACATCCTCGTGTACGTCGACGACTTGGTCTTTGCCACTGCTGACACTGAGGCTCTCGCCCACGTGAAGTCGGAGCTGCAGAAGAGACACACGTGCACAGACCTGGGTGAGCTGACAAGCTATCTTGGCTTGCGGATCACCCGGGACAGAGCACGCCGCACCATCACACTGACTCAGTCACACATGGTGCAGCAGGTCCTTCAGCGCTTCGGCTTCACCTGGTCCTCGGCACAGGCCACTCCTCTGGCTACAGGTCACTCGCTCTCAGCTCCACCTTCGGACGAGTCCGTAGAGCCGAGTGGTCCTTACCCAGAGCTAGTTGGTTGCCTCATGTACCTGATGACTTGCACTTGTCCTGACCTCGCGTACCCTCTTGGCCTTCTGGCTCGCTACGTGGCTCCTGGTCGGCACCGAAAGGTGCACATGGATGCTGCTAAGAGGGTACTGCGCTACTTGTGCAGTACGTCAGGCATGGGGCTCGTGCTTGGAGGGAGGCGCTCAGTTGTTCTCACTGGGCACTCAGACGCTTCTTAGGTTGACGACCAGGCTACTCAGCGGTCGTCACAGGGTTACACCTTCAGCCTTGGCTCTGGTTCAGTTTCTTGGCGTTCTACTCGCTCGTCTTCAGTTCTCAGCTCCAGTTGTGAGGCTGAGATCTACGCCACAGCCATGGCTGCACAGGAGCTACGCTGGCTGACCTACCTGCTGACCGACTTGGGAGAGCGGCCTAGTTCTCCTCCAGTGATGTACGTCGACAACAAGGCTGCCATTGCCTTGTGTGAGGAGCACAGACTGGAGCACAGAACGAAGCACATCGCTCTGCGTTACTTCCTGGCTCGAGAGCTGCAGCAGCGTGGTCAGCTTCGTCTGCGTTACGTGGCCACTCAGACCAACACCGCTGATATATTCACCAAGGCACTTCAGTCTGGTGATCATCAGCGCTTCTGCACTATGCTGGGGCTTGTGCCCACTTTTCCTCACTTGCTGTAGGGTTTGCCTGTACTTTGATCTCTATATATACATATATATGTCTGCTTGTTTGCTTTGCTAGGTCGAGATCACTGTATTGTTTGTGTTGCATATATGCCTCTGCACGTGAACTGGCCTTGTGGCCCTTTGCTTGTGCTCAGAGTGTGTGGTGACGTTGTGATCCACCCTGAGCTTGCTTTGTCTTTCTTGACTGGTCCTGTGACCCCTTGCTCTCCCCCACTTAGCCTATGGGGGTGTGTCAAACATTATATATGTTACTGCTGTGTAGGCTACAGTGGGTTAGCCTTTAGGGGGTACATTTCTCTAGGGTTTCATACTTGTACTCCCACATGTTTCTAGTTCATCACTTCTTGTTTCTGATAGGGGCCGCTAAGGGGCCGCGAAGGGGCCGCGAAGGGGCCGCGAAGGGCGCCGCTAAGGGGCAGCGAAGGGGCCGCGAAGGGGGCCGCTAAGGGGCCGCAAAGGGGGCCGCTAAGGGGCAGCGAAGGGGCCGCTAAGGGGCCGCGAAGGGGCCGTGAAGGGGCCGCAAAGGGGGCCGCTAAGGGGGCCGCGAAGGGGCCACTAAGGGGCCGTTAAGGGGCAGGCCACTAAGGGGCCGCGAAATTTTCGGGCAGGACGCGAAGCGCGTGTAGGGCAGGCTTAAAAAAAAACTTTCGAAGGTGGGCCCTTGGAAGAAACGGTCCCACTAGGGAACCCGCTCTATACCATGTGAAGAATGAGGAATGATTGACTAAGGAATGTGAAGGGTACAAGTATGAAACCCTAGGAAACCATACCCCTTAGTGTTTACCCCACTACAGCCTAGATAGACTATAGCATATAAGTTTGACAGTTACGTGCAACATTTTTGTCGCCACAACCTTGTAAGGTCAAATAGTTGAACACGACCTCAAAGTTTAGGCTCAGGTCGGAGGGGGGGCGGGTATAAATGCCCAACGGAGGTCATTTTCTCATTTGGTTTCTTCTCTTTCAGTTTTTGTCCAGCTTCTTCCTTTCATCGCAGCCTCTCTGCTTCCTCCACTTAGTCAATGGAGCCTTCGATAGAAGTAGAGGCTGCTGGCTTGCGTGTGCGCCTCTCTTGTTTGGAGTTTGAGAACATGCGACACAAGCGTGGGGAATGGACCGAGAATATGCTCAACTTTGCTATGGTGTAAGATGCCCTCGTAGGCGTGAAGCTCGGCCAGTGATGTTAATTTTCGAGATTTACAGACTGTCACGTGTAGAGTACAAGTAGCGATCGAGCAAAAAACGCTATGGGCGCTCCAACGTCTTACCCATATTCCGAGAACTGGTTTCCAACGCTCTGCTCAACGGAGGCAATCGGTTTTCGAAGGGCGTTTCGATCTCTGTTTTTAGAAAGAGTTCCGCGAATGCGGATGTGTTGTGTAGCGCTGGCCTGTTCTCAGAATGCTCCGTGTGTTGTCTCTTGCAGGATGATTGCAAGGGAGAAGCTGACCGCGGAGCAGCTTTCGAGAGTTGTAATCATCCCCATGAGTAAGGTCAACGAGGCCCGGGCGAAACAACCTTTCGAACCCATGGGTCCAGGCAGACTCGATGGTGTGCTTGGCAAGCAACTCGCCGTCTTCCCGCTCTAGTCGCGGTGAGCTCGAATTTTACAGGTTTTGGTGTCAATATTTACTGCTCGGGAAATACATGTGCTGTTCGATGTTTTGAGCTTTTACGCGCTGGCTAACCTTTCGCCCCACCACCCCATGCAGCATGATTGCCGAACCTGGAGCGCGCTGTAGCCTTTTCTTGCTTGTCCGGCCCGACAGTCTGGCCGACCACCCGAATCTTCCGGTTGCGACGCGTCCTCTGCATTACGACCCCAAGTCGACTTCTCCAGCACACAAGCACGGCGACCTCGCCCTACAAGTTGTCAAGTAAGATTTAGCTACTGTCGCTCATCACATGTGCTTGATGACGCTCCGGCAGAGCAGAACTTAATTTTGTCGGAGAATCACATGTTGAACAGATGGCTGGAGGTGCAGCTCTTGACGGAGTATTCTAGAGGAGAAACAATCCTAGACTCGGGGGAGCAGGAAACATTCCGCGACATCAGGAGACGGATTACGAGCGGGTGGAGGCTCGACAGTGCGGGAGTAAGTTTACGGTGCAAACTTATATATTTTTTTCGGAACTCCAAACAGGACAAGTGCTAACCTGCTCACTTCATTTTCATGCAGAAGTTGACTTCAATGGTCTCCTCGAGGGAGGTCGGGAGCGGTTCTCATGTAGCGTACCAGTGGCGTAAGTTGCTCGATCATTTTGACTCGATTCTCTTACAGCATGATCGAGACGATAAATTTAGGGTTCTTGGAAAACCACACTATCGGCGAGAGGATATATTCCGGGACATAGTGACCAGCTGCGCTGAGTATTTTGACAAACTGGCGGCTGGTGATGAGGAGAGTGCGGGAGAGGTGGACAACCTGGGGCACGTTGGGGACGCTGCTGAGGACACGGGTGCCCCGCCCGTTATTGACGCGGAAATAGTCGCGTTGGGGGCCATGCTTGCTGAGGGCGCACGAATAGGTCTGGCCAACGAGCATCAGAGCGTAACGGATGGGGAGCGTCAGATGATGGATAGAGAGGAACCACCTTTCCAGAGGAGGAGTGCGCGCGAGATCTTGCGTGGAATGAGGGAGGCGCAGCAGAGGGCACCAGAGGATAAGACCGAGCGTCGCGGATCGGAGGCCCTACAACAGAGGGGGGAGGGGGAGAGGATGGAGGAGTTAGCAATGGGTTTTGAGGCAGTGCACCGCCCGGTCGAGAATGATGAACAGGAGCAGGGGCAGGGTATGGACATGAGGCAAGGGAGTCCGAATGTCGTAGGCGAATTGGATGCAGAGGTTCAGAGAGCGGAACGCGAGAATAGGGTGGTGTATCAGAGGCGGGAGGCAAGAACAAAGAGGAGGTATGATCAGGGGCGGGAAGCACGCGAGGGGGAAGAGGCGAATCAGAGGGTGGAACAGAAGCGTATGAGGCTCGAGGACGAGGAGCGAGAGGAGCGTGCGATGGAGGGGGACAGGGAGAGGGAGGAACGGGAGCGGAAGAGGGAGGAAGAAAATGAGAGGGAGGAAGAGAGGAAAGTGGAGGAGAAGCGGCAGAGGGAGGAGGAAGAGCGGAAGAGGGAGGAGGAGAAGGCTGAGCGCGAACAGGAGGAGAAGCGGCAGAAGGAGGAAGAGCGGAAGAGGGAGGAGGAGAAGAAGGCTGAGCGCGAACAGGAGGATAAGCGACAGAGGAAGGAGGAAGAGCGGAAGAGGGAGGAGGAGAAGGCTGAGCGCGAACAGGAGGAGAAGCGGCAGAAGGAGGAAGAGCGGAAGAGGGAGGAGGAGAAGAAGGCTGAGCGCGAACAGGAGGAGAAGCGACAGAGGGAGGAGGAAGAGCGGAAGAGGGAGGAGAAGAAGGCTGAGCGCGAACAGGAGGAGAAGCGCCAGAGAGAGGATGAAGAGCGGCAGAGGGAGGAGGCGAGCAGGGTGGAGCGCGAAAAGGAGGAGAAGCGACAGAGGGACGAGGAAGAGCGGAAGAGGGAGGAGAAAAAGTTGGCGCGCGAATAGGAGGAGAAGCGGCAGAAGGACGAGGAAGAGCGGGAGAGGGAGGAGGAGAAGGCTGAGCGCGAACAGGAGGAGAAGCGCCAGAGGGAGGAGGAAGAGCGGAAGAGGGAGGAGGCGAGGAGGGTGGAGCGCGAAAGGGAGGAGAAGCGACAGAGGGACGAGGAAGAGCGGAAGAGGGAGGAGGTGAGGAAGGCTGAGCGCGAACTGGAGGAGAAGCGGCAGAGAGAGGATGAAGAGCGGAAGAGGGAAGAGGCGAAGAAGGTGGAGCGCGAAAAGGAGGAGCAGCGGAAGAGGGACGAGGAAGAGCGGAAGAGGGAGAAGAGGGCTGAGCGCGAACAGGAGGAGAAGCGCCAGAGGGAGGATGAAGAGCGGAAGAGGGAAGAGGCGAGGAGGGTGGAGCGCGAAAAGGAGGAGAAGCGACAGAGGGAGGATGAAGAGCGGAAGAGGGAGGAGGCGAGGAGGGTGGAGCGCGAAAAGGAGGAGAAGCGACAGAGGGACGAGGAAGAGCGGAAGAGGGAGGAGGTGAGGAAGGCTGAGCGCGAACTGGAGGAGAAGCGGCAGAGAGAGGATGAAGAGCGGAAGAGGGAGGAGGCGAAGAAGGTGGAGCGCGAAAAGGAGGAGTAGCGGAAGAGGGACGAGGAAGAGAGAAAGAGGGAGAAGAGGGCTGAGCGCGAACAAGAGGAGAAGCGCCAGAGGCAGGAACGGGAACGGAAGAGAACCGAAAGTGAACGCAGAAGGAAAGAGCTTCAAAGGCTTGAGCGCGAAAGGCTACTGGCAAGACAGACGGAGGATGCCGGTGAGCATCAGGGTCTGGAGCGTCAGGGTGATCGACGGGTGGATAATGAGCGGCGTGGGATGGGGGGCGCTCCTCAGAGGCACGAAAGGCAGAGAGAGGTTGCTGGGTTGAATGAACAAGGTGCTGGGGGGCAGCGGCGTGGGGATGGAACTCGTCACCCGAGCGAGGGCCATAGGGGTGCGAGGGTCTTTCAAATGCAGTTGAGGTGGGATGTAGGGGAAGGAGCTCGGCAAGTGGTGGTTGGCGTCGGGCCAACCGAGGGGCATCAGGGGACGACTGTTGGTCGGGCAGCGGATGTTGGTTTACCGGGGTTGAAAACTGGCGAAGCGAGACCGGTGATGCAGCGGGAAGGTGGCCGGCGTGATGATCAAACAGCTCGGAACAGGGTCGGCGAGGGAGACCGTAGGAGGGTCGAGCAGTCAAGGCAAGCTGGTAGGCGAGAGGGTGAAGCGCGTGGAACGTGCCAGGGTGAGAGAATGGCGGAGGATCAGGTCTGGCGTGGGGTGGGATGGGGAATTGAGGGATTGCGACACAGGGAGAATCAGCAGAGACAGGCGGGAGGACGGGTGGAGGAGGAACTAGAGAGTGCGGCGAGTGCACTCCCTATGCAGAGGCGTCATCCACGTGCTGCAGAGAATCCTGCCGTGGCGCAGGCAGAGGAACTAGAGGATGGAGAATGGGTGGCTGTGGAGACGCAACTGCGTGGACTGGAGAATGCGGGGCCCCAGGTTTTCGAGGAGACGGAGCTAGGATTTGAGGAGGCTGGCGACCGCATCGCGGCTGGCGGCAGGGTGCCTACCACAGCAGAGTTAATGCGGCGTCTGACGTTGGTGGCAAGATCCGTGGCCAGGACTTCGTCGGAACAACGTGTTCGTTTCAGCGACTGCATGGCAGAGATTCGCGAGTTTGGTTTGCAGATGCAGGGTTGGGACACGCGGTACTTGCAGGACTACGATGATCTAACGTACGAATACCACGAGCTCAAGGCTGAGGTGGTCCGGGAACGCGACGAGCTAACCCGATTGCGTACTACTCTATCGGCGTCTGTCGCCGAAGCACGAGCGGCAGCAGCTGATGCGGGAGCCGCAGCTGCAACAGCGGCAGTGGGAGCATTGCAGGAAAAGTTAGTGGGGTTTTTCGAGACCTTTGGAGAGAAGCTGAAAAGTGTGGTGGAGCAGGTGATAGAGCAATCATCGCTGGAGGCCACGATCACATCCAGCTCCATGGAACACCTGCAAGCGGCTATTGACAATAGTGTATACACAGTGTGGGAGGATCTCAGAACTGCGGACGACCAAAACAAGCTGACATTCAACAAGATTCAGAAGGCTCTGACAGGACTGTCAGCAAAGCTCAAAGGGTTGACTGGACCCATCAAGGTCCGAAATCCACCCGCCGCCAGGGCAGAGGCCACACCAAAGCCTTCGCGAACGCAGGTTGAAGCAGATTCCCCGGACATCCCAATCTCCGCAGCACAACGGGTCATGGAAAGGTTTGCCGCGTCGTCCGAGGGTGAGGCGGGTGACGCTGGTGAGGCGGGTGAGGCGGGCGCTAGTGTGGCAGATGTTGACTTGTCTGAACTAGTGAGGAGAAACTGGAGAGAGACGTACGCAGCAAAGAAATTGCAGAAAGAGAAGGAGAGCGAGGAGAGGAGGACGGCCGAAGCGCGAAAGCAGCAAGCACTTCAGACGGCGCAAGCGTCGGCTGCAAAGAAGAGGCGGCCTGAGAGGGGGTTGGGAAATATGAGGGTGGAGGACCGGCCTGAGCCTGTTAGCAGCGGGAGAGCGACGGAAAACCAACCGGCGGGTACAGCCGCAGAAGCAAGGAAGGTGGAGCGCGAAAAGAAGGAGAAGCGGCGGAGAGTGGAGGAGCGAAAGAGGGAGGAGGCGAGGAAGGTGGAGCGCAAAAAGGAGGAGAAGCGGTAGAAGGACGAGGAGGAGCGGAAGAGGGAGGAGGCGAGGAAGGTGGAACGCGAAAAGGAGGAGAAGCGGCAGAAGGACGAGGAGGAGCGGAAGAGGGAGGAGGCGAGGAAGGCGGAACGCGAAAAGGAGGAGAAGCGGCAGAGGGACGAGGAGGAGCGGAAGAGGGAGGAGGCGAGGAAGGCGGAACGCGAAAAGGAGGCGAAGCGGCAGAAGGACGAGGAGGAGCGGAAGAGGGAGGAGGCGAGAAAGGCGGAACGCGAAAAGGAGGAGAAGCGGCAGAAGGACGAAAAGGAGCGGAAGAGGGAGGAGGCCTTGAAGGCGGAACGCGAAAAGGAGGAGAAGCGGCAGAAGGACGAGGAGGAGCGGAAGAGGGAGGAGGCGAGGAAGGCGGAACGCGAAAAGGAGGAGAAGCGGCAGAAGGACGAGGAGGAGCGGAAGAGGGAGGAGGCGAGGAAGGCGGAACGCGAATAGGAGGAGAAGCGGCAGAAGGACGAGGAGGAGCGGAAGAGGGAGGAGGCGAGGAAGGCGGAACGCGAAAAGGAGGAGAAGCGGCAGAGGGACGAGGAGGAGCGGAAGAGGGAGGAGGCGAGGAAGGCGGAACGCGAAAAGGAGGCGAAGCGGCAGAAGGACGAGGAGGAGCGGAAGAGGGAGGAGGCCTTGAAGGCGGAACGCGAAAAGGAGGAGAAGGGGGAGAAGGACGAGGAGGAGCGGAAGAGGGAGGAGGCCTTGAAGGCGGAACGCGAAAAGGAGGAGAAGCGGTAGAAGGACGAGGAGGAGCGGAAGAGGGAGGAGGCCTTGAAGGCGGAACGCGAAAAGGAGGAGAAGCGGCAGAAGGACGAGGAGGAGCGGAAGAGGGAGGAGGCGAGGAAGGCGGAACGCGAACATGAGGAGAAGCGGCAGAAGGACGAGGAGGAGCGGAAGAGGGAGGAGGCGAGGAAGGCGGAACGCGAAAAGGAGGAGAAGCGGCAGAAGGACGAGGAGGAGCGGAAGAGGGAGGAGGCGAAGAAGGCGGAACGCGAACAGGAGGAGAAGCGGCAGAAGGACGAGGAGGAGCGGAAGAGGGAGGAGGCGAGGAAGGCGGAACGCGAACAGGAGGAGAAGCGGCAGAAGGACGAGGAGGAGCGGAAGAGGGAGGAGGCGAGGAAGGCGGAACGCGAACAGGAGGAGAAGCGGCAGAAGGACGAGGAGGAGCGGAAGAGGGAGGAGGCGAGGAAGGCGGAACGCGAACAGGAGGAGAAGCGGCAGAAGGACGAGGAGGAGCGGAAGAGGGAGGAGGCGAGGAAGGCGGAACGCGAAAAGGAGGAGAAGCGGCAGAAGGACGAGGAGGAGCGGAAGAGGGAGGAGGCGAGGAAGGCGGAACGCGAAAAGGAGGAGAAGCGGCAGAAGGACGAGGAGGAGCGGAAGAGGGAGGAGGCGAGGAAGGCGGAACGCGAAAAGGAGGAGAAGCGGCAGAGGGAGGAGCACGCGAAGGCGATGGAAAGGAGGCGGCAACAGAGGGAGGTGGAGCTAGAAGCGAAGCGTGAGCAGATTGCGAAGGTCGCTGAAACAAAGCGGTTGGAGGCAGCAAAGCGAAAAAGAGACCTCGAAATAGAGCGTCAGAAAGCCCTGGAGGAGATCGAGCGTATTGCACGGTTGGAGGAAGCCACAAAGGAGGAAGAGAAGAGGCAACAAATGGAGTTAGAGGCAGAAACACAGAAAATGGAAAACGAGAGGCGACGGATTGCGGAAGAGGATGAGGAAGGGGCAGCGGAGCAACGGCAGGGAGGAGAGGCGGAAGGAGAAGGGTGCGTCGGGATTCATAAGGTGCTTTCGCTCGTTCCAGAAGATCCACTGCAAGTAGTTTACATGGAGGAGGAGGGGGAGGGTTCAGAACATCTGACAGGTTATGGAGTTTTAGAGACTCAACCGCCATCGAAAAGGCCTCGCATTGACCAGACGGGAATGAACTTCGGCGCGGCTGAGGGGTCTTTGGGGGCGGCTGAGTCAGAGGAATGTGTCGGTGAAAATGTGTCGGGAAATCAGAACGTTCAACCAACGTTGGGAGAGGCGACGGGGGAGGTGGCACAGCGAAGAACGGACGTGCTACCAGACGAGCTAGGGAAGCGGTGGGGGGAAACAAAGCATTTCAGATCGAGTGGGCTTACCACACGCGAAAAGAAGAACAAGGGGGAAGTGGTGTCCGTGCGCTACAACTCGGAGCAAACCGTCGGAGGTGTGAAGAGGAACATGGGTAGCTTCAAGGAGAGGAAACTACGCGATTTCACAGTGGCCGTCTGTTGGATGACCTACTTCCCCGACACCGACATGGTCCATTACGGCTTGGATCCTGCCGAGCTTGGCTTGTGGGCGGTCCACCTCGATTTCGCGCGTGAACTGCCGACGGGTGTCTGGACTGTTATGAACGAATTGAACCTCGACAAGTTCGAGAAGTGATTATTCGATTCGAATTAGCTAGATATAGTACATTTTCCCGTTTTCCCACACTAACCGTGTATCCACCTCTCCTGTGCAGCTTCGAAAACGTCATGAACAAGACATATGCACGGGTGAAGGACGGCGCGCATTACCAGGTGGCCGTTTGCACAGGGATTGGACAAACCCTGGTACACGGAGGGGTTGGGCAGGTGTCGCCCCCCGGAGGTGTCAAGCCCGCGGTCTATGCAGCGGGAGTGGCTGCAACCCTTTACACCCTGTGGTGTGCCTCCATCGGCATTCCCCACCAGGACTGGGCGGAGGGTGCGGATGAGGCGGCTCGTGGCACACTCAACGAGGCAAGCCTTGCGAGTCGAGCAACCTCTACTGCTCGGCTTGGAGTGTGGACTTTAAAATCCGTAAAGAACCTAACGCCCGAGAAGGCGGAGTGGGAAGTGGTACTGACCAAGGCTATTCTCGGCCTTGTGGATCCCGAGCCCGGGGAGGCAGAGGCTATCGAAATGGCTAAGGTGGTTTCGAGGGTGCTGGTGTACTGGTGCGAGTGCTCTCACGCAAACCAGAGTCTTTACGATAATCAGGGTGGGATGCTCCAATTTCCCCAGCCCACAAAAGGGGGACGGCGGAAGGGCAATGCGGGAGGCAACGAGTGATGCAGGAGGGGGTACAAATTCGAATTTGCTACAGAACTGTTGTATAGTCTGGTGCACGCTTCTTTTCTTGACACTTTTGTTCCAGCTGGTATATACCGATAGAGCTATGTACTATAGTGTCTTCGATGCACTATTTTCGAGACATTGTGACATTTCATCTGGACAAGGTTGTTTTCCTTGCATGGTTTTCCGAGAAATATTGTATTCCAGTAACTAGTGTACTCTGGAATTCCTCTAGAAACAGAGAAATGGCTTGCCTTTTTCAATCGTTGACGTTACACGAGACCCGAGTGCAACCCTGATCTTCCACTATCCTTGAATTGTAGTATGCAACTTGCTTTGATTTTCGAGACATTCCCTTCACTTAGACGAATACTCCGGGGTGCGAGCGCACATTCGAGCTTGCTAGAGCTGTGTAGCGTAATGTTGTCTAATCGGTTGCTTTTCCGAGAGTGAATGTTGCTCTGCATATATTGCGCCCCATGATTTTCAACTAGTTGTTTAGCACTATAAACTGATTGACGGTTTCGAGCACAATCCTGCTAGTTTATAGATGCTGTACGCTGTACTAAAGTCTCTGTAATGCTTAGTTTCCAAAGTAGGAGTGTAGGAATAGATGGTAAAAATAGTAACCCAAAACCCGCTCTATAACCCGATGTTCCGAAGACACAAATGTAACTCTAAACGAAGAGTCGGCATAGAGCACAGTAGAAGAGAAGGGAAGGAAAAGAGGGATCAAAGTCAAGAGAAGTAGAAAAGAGGTCCAAGAAAGGACGAGCATGCAAACATGGATACAAAGAACTTGGGAAACTACTTCTTCAGTTTAGCCAGCATCTTTGGCTCCTCGATCTTGATCTGCTTCCAATCATCTTTCCCAAACATCGTCTCTCCCCACGCGTCACCTTCCATCTCGGCAGCGAAGAAGAGGTACCCGACCCTGCGGCGTTTGTTCTCTGTCGTCTTATCCTTGCCGGAATTATCCCTCTTCGGTGGGGGCTCCTTTCCGAAAATCACGCCGTCTGCCAGAGCGCTGATCGAACTCCGATCCACCACGTCCTTCTGGATCTTCGCAATGGCTGCGTGGGTGGCCTCCTCCGATTCATTAGCCCTGTACTTCTCGACGGTGAGCATCACGTTCCTCATCCGCTTCATTTTTAGTCGTCAGTATCGTCCTTTTTTCCCTTCTCAATATACGAGAAAGTGGGGTAGAAATCCTTTTCGGACGACAGCTGGGAGAGAGTCTTTCCGTCCATAAAAAAAGTGACCTTCACCCAGTGTTCCCATGCCTCTGCGACCGTCTTAGAGTCGCGCCAGGGTTTAACGACAAGGTCAAAAAATGCCCGCACCGGAGTGGTGACTTGTGGCTTCTCGGGCTTCGGAGCATCGGAACCAGCTTCCACCTTTGCCGACGCGCTCGTCTCTGGACCTGCAGCCTCTGCGTTAGCGTTGGTCAGGGCATGCGCCTTTAGAGCAGCCAGCTCCTGTTTGAGCTGCTCGAGTTCAGCGGCTGTTTTTTTCTCCCTCTCTTCGCTTGCAGCGAGCCTGTTCTTCAGCTCTCCAATCTCGTGATCCTTCTGACCACATTCCATCCGGAACAAGCTGTTCTCTACGAGGAGCTTCTGGTACTTCCGCGTAGAGTTGAGCTTGTAGATCGCATCCTGCGGGAAACGGACGAAGGTTTTCAAACATTGAGAATATTTGCCGAAATGGAAGTACCGATCAGAGAACTATTGTACTTACAGCGGCTGCAGAGCTGCCCCGGGCTTCACGAAGTTCAATGCAATTCTTGTGCATGATTGCAAATTTGATGGCCCACTTCTGAAACAGTGGGTGGCGGCAGAGCGGGTTCATGTCCGTGTACGGGTGGCGCTGGCACTCGCATGGCCGTCTTGTACCGTCGAACAGCTTGTCGTGATCGGGGCAATAGAACCACCACATGGCAAGGTCCTGTGCCACGATGTCTCGCCCAGGGTTCGCAAGAGCCTCCAAAAAACTTCTGCCAGAGAGGTGAATCTTCTCTGGATTGTCTTCGTTGTACTTATCGACCTGAGATGATAGGACAGAGAGAAGAGTGAGCTCTGACACGTGTAACAAAATCAGGCAACAGCTACAAGCTGGCTACTTAAGGGATACCTCTGCCAACTGAGATTCGAGGCGCGGGAAGATGAACTTCTTGAAGAGGGCCTGCAACTCCTCCCACTCCTTAGGGTCGTCAAGCTCGGCGTGCGCTCTGCCAATGTAGTAATCTCCCGGTTCCCCACTGAATCCGGCCATCATCAACACAGGCCAGAACGGAATTCCCACGACGTAGGATTTTCGCATCTCGCCCTGCTCCCAGCCTCCGAGGGCGTTGATGTCGGGGTCAGGACAGCGATCGTCGCTCAGGCATTGGGCTCCCGACCGGCGAAACGCGTGGGTCTTTTTGCTCATCTTCCAGGGCGGTTTAGCTACGTCGTTCATAACCCAATTAATCCAGTTGTTGTGAGTCACGTACGGAAGCTCTTCCTGCAGTTGTTCCCTTCCGTGCCTCAATGGGAAAAAGATGTGCTTCTTCGACCACCGGAGTGGGTCGATGAAGACCAGGGGCGGGACGATGTCCGTGCCGAATCGAATCGGCACGAGGTCGTAGATGAAATGAATCCACAAAAAAAAGCCACCAACACCGCAGAGCGCGAAGTTCATGTGCCGGGCCAAGGATTGGTGGGTCAGCCTGTTAGTCGAATTCGTCTTGGATTTTCGAGAGGCGAAAACAATTACAGGGAGATCCTTCTGGCGATCGGGGACGGCCGTGCTGCTACGCGTATGCCGGACAAACATGTTGGCGAAACGAAGAGCACGAATGCTGCATCCCCTCCCCAACATTTGGTGTGCGAGCTGAATCATCACCTGCACCGCAAAACACCGCCAGAGACTTTCTGCTAGTGCAACCCTGGCCCTCTGGTACAACGTTTTCATGTCCCTCAGAAGGTGCTTTTCGTGCAGATCCACGTACTGCTCCGCCGTGTAGCAATCGTCCAGCGAGCCTCTGTGCTGATCTGTGCCCTCCCTGCAGTGATCCACATGGAACAAGATTAGGCAGTGAAATTTCGATGAACTGAGTGCCCAAAAGGTGTGTCAATACTCACGCAACCTGCTTGTCGTGCAGCTGTTTCATCTTGAGCTTCATGTACTCCCGCGCTTCGCTGATGTACTCATCCGCTTCGGACTTAGGGTAGTTGTAGAGACGAGATTCCAGTCTGCCGAGGAAGCCCAAGGCGCTCATCTTTGCCTTCATCATGCTCGTCGTACTAGGGATGGGCTCCTTCCCAGCCACCACTTCTTCGCCTCTCCGCATCATTTCGGCCTGCGCCGGGGTTTCGTCTGCCATGTACTGCAGGTATCTCTGAATCCTCCATCCAGAAACATGGGGCCCGTGCAGATAGGATTCCTCGGGTTCCACACTTGACCACGCCTGCTTTTTTTCGTCCCCCAAATGGAGTCCAACCTCGTCCGGTGTAACGGTATTTAGACGCTCCTTCTTTGGAACCTCCGTCTTGGGCAGCGTTGACATGAACAAGATGACCCACCACTTGTAGTGCTGCCAATACAGGATGTATTCCTTTCTGGTTTTCGGCGCGAGATAATCGAAAGGGGTCTTTGCGCAGCGCTTCCTGCTGCCCATGTCGGCCTGTTTCCGAACTGAATCCTACGTAGCTGATGCTGGCCCATCTGCATTTCTCTGAGACGCAGCATGTGATTCCCGACCCTCTGCATTTCCCTGTGGCGCAGCCTGTGATTCTTGCCCCTCTACATTTCCCTTGGGCGCAGCCTGCGATTCGAGCCCATGTGCACTTCCATGTGGTGATGCCTGTGATTCTGGGCCGTTGACATTGCCGTGGGACGCATCCCCAAAAAGATTTCGAGTGGTGGCGTTATCTTCAGAGGTCGGGCTTCGGCTAGCATTTCCATCCCATTCCTCCTCCCACAAGGCTCGGTGGGGGTCCTCCTCGTCTTCCGCGAGGTTAATCCACACCCCCGAACGCTGGCCGCCCCTCGGAATTGAGCCCTCAGCATCGTTTCCCTCGACCCCGACTTGAGGGTTCGAGGACGGAAATTCCGCCGGAGCATCCACGAACACTTCTTCCCCAACTGCCGGCGCGAATTCCGTGTCCCAATCGCGGTCCCCGGTTAGATCAATCGGGGCATCGGGCAGTTGGCAGTCTGGAAGATCTACAAATGTCTCATTGTCCTCGAAAGCTGCACTAAGAAAATTACCCGTACCTCCATCGACCTCCATCACGGTGTACCTGTTTCAGAGGACTGTATGCTTCACATGATCCGCAGAACCTGTCCTGAATCTCTTATTTAAGA